CAGCTACCTCTGACAATAAGTTTTAAGAGGTTTCGTCAAATCCTGGCCGAGCTAAGGGGTGTTGACTAGGGCCCCTACTGTGTAACAGCTACAATTTTGGGGCAGGTCAATCTCCTTTAAAACCTGTCCTAATTGAGCCAAATTTTCGTTGAAAATACAGGAGACATGGTAAAATGCAATCACCTACTTTTCACCAACTTCGGGGGGGTGTTGTTTCCATAGAAACAAGCAAACATAAAAGAAAACTTTTTTGTAGTTTCGCTCTCATTCAATGATCTATGTTTCACCTGTATGGCATCAAAAACTACATCATGCATTCTACAGGCAAAAATACACACCCCTGCCAAATTTGGTGAGACTTGGACAATTCGTTCCCTCAAACGACTTGTCCCTAAATTGCATAACCTCAAAAAACGTAACTTTTTCATCCCCAGATTTTACTACATTTTTGAATAATGAAATATATTTGAGACATTCTAAGCAGGTAAAAGATATTTAGACCTTAATAAAAAAAAAAAGTATCTAAATAATGTTCGAAGTGAAAAATTAAAGTCCAAAAGCCCGAGGCGGAACCAGGTGGAGCGGTATAAATAAAAATATATATTTTTTTTTTTTCGAAAAAAAAAACCTTTCTACATTTAATGACCTCGCATTTAAATTCTTTCAAGTCTTTAAGATTTTGGTAGGGCAATATTCATATCTTATCTAGTTTCTGGACACGAACATTACAAATATTACCTTTATTACCTCTAAAACAATAGATCGCCAAACAAACTGTTTGATGAGCTGAACAATAGCCTTGAATTCATTATGAGATCCTTTCGCACATTTTGTCTGACATGCGAAACAACAACATGAAATGTCTTCGTTTATTAGTGTTTTTACGTTGGCCGAATTAAACGCCGTCTTTTTTCAGGATAGCACAAAAACACTACAGTTCCTTTTTACTCCTTCATACCAATTCGATTTTCACACGGGTGTCGATATTAGTGGAGAGGGAGAGATATTTGTTGAATCAATTCAGTTCTTCAGTTAGGAAATAAATTGTATAGAAATTTAAAATGTCCTGGATAACAATGTTTTTGAACTGTCATAAAAACGAATGTTTTTGTGCATTTCCAGAGGCAAGAAATAAAGTGATATACTTCACTTGTCACTTCTCATTTCATGATCTTCATGCCTTAAGACTTCATTGTTAAAAATACTACAAAGCTGTAATATGAACGTTTCTTTTTCCCTGCTCTGTAACCTGTGAGATTTCTGATGCTGCTCATGTGAGCTCATAATTTTTATATCGTTGATGAAACCACCACTGAAAGCTTTAAGATGAAACCACCACTCTCAAAAGAGGTCAAAAAAAGTCAAAATTTAAAGGCTCGGTATACTTATTTTCACAAAAAGCTGTATACAAAACAATTCAAAGCGCAGATCCACCATTCTGAAGCATAAAATTGTGTTTATATCA